TTTAAATTTTCTAGTAATTTGGGTTCATATTTTTTGTAGTTTCTCAGAGATGATTTACTCCGCTGCCTCCCTCTCGATCGGTGAATAAGGCCAGATACATCAAGTTAAGTTGTCAAAGTGTGTTGAAACTTTTATAACAAACTGTACTAACTGTTCGGTTCCCCGAGCTGGGGCCAGAGCCCCTGACTGGCACCAGGGCGGGCCGCGGGCCCCACACAGCCGCCTGGCGGGTTTGCCTACCCGGAGTGTTGCCGGCGCTTGCGGCGGTCGCGTCCCAAAGGCCACAGAGTCGTCCCGTCGTAAGCGCCGAAGGCACTCATTCAAGTTGGCAATTCAAATAAGCGCTCTAGGTTTGGAACACGTAAAATGCGAAGTAAACGAAGGGTCTGTGCTGCCTCTTATTGGGCCATCGCAGTATGGCGCTTTGCTCGCCTCATTTCTAATTTTTTCGAGACGAATGCTGCAAAAATCAGGAATCTCGCACAGGAACGGAACGACTAACTACGCATCTTTGCTCATTCATAGCGACTCCTGCTCATGCTCCTGCCCTGCCGTGTCGTGCTAGAAGTGCTAGAATGTGCTTACGCCGCAGGGGGTGTTTCCTCGGAAGCCCCCTCTCCCTCTCTCCGCACGCAGCCTGACGTGTCCTGCACCCCTCCCCCTTCCTCCCCCCTCCCCTCCCTGTCCGGCATCTGGTTGTCCCGCTAAAAGTTTCCTTGTTTCTGTCGGTTCTGTATGATCAGCTGTGAACACGACAGCTGTGTAGTACGCTCTATCAAAATCTCCTTAGTTTTAGTCTTGGAGTGACACCTCCATCTCAGGTTATTCGCAGTTGTAGATTCAGAGAGTAAGTTCACTTCGGCAAATGGGCAAATGATGCAACATGGGTTAAGCACGTCGTGTGTTGGTTATTTCCAAAGTATTTCCATCGATGAAATTTGGCGTAGCGTCTGTCATTTGCTGTAATATTATGATGTTACTTAAGTTTCTACTTTTTTAATTGGTTTACAGGTTACCAGGCGGAAGAATGCCACATACAAACGGGCGCGTTGGGGGCCATGGCGATGTTGAAATGCAAGAACATGAAACTTTCCTCTTTACCTCAGAATCTGTTGGGGAAGGTCACCCCGACAAAATGTGTGATCAAATAAGGTATTTGCTAATTTTACTTTGAAAATTTGTGCTCATTTACTTCCTATCTAACCATTTTATATTGATCCATCTTACTTTACTCTTTTCGAAAGTGATGCCATCCTGGACGCCCATTTGAAACAAGATCCAAATGCCAAAGTAGCTTGTGAATGTGTAGTGAAAACTGGTATGGTCCTTCTCTGCGGAGAAATTAATTCTTCTGCTGTTGTTGACTATCAAAAAGTTGTTCGTGACACCATAAATCATATTGGGTATGTTTGCCGCAAAGTCAGAATTTACAACTGTGTAATTTATATTCTGCGTGCTGGTTTGAATTTTCTTTAACATTTCTTCTCCTTTTCGTTGTTCGTGTTTGTGTAGATATGATGACTCCTCCAAAGGCTTTGATTACAAGACCTGTAGCGTAATGCTTGCTTTGCATCAACAGTCAGAACAGATAGCAGCGGGTGTTCACTTAAACCGCCGGGAGGAAGACATTGGAGCCGGGGATCAGGGTCTTATGTTTGGCTATGCTACTGATGAAACTGAAGAATGCATGCCTTTGACAGTGGTTTTGGCTCACAAGCTGAATCAGCGTCTATCTGATCTTCGTAGGGGTGGGGACTTCTGGTGGGCTAGACCCGATTCTAAGACACAGGTACAATGTAAATTTGGTTTAGTCGTAAAGTTGATATAGGTTATTATTTATGCTTTTGTTTCATTAAAATGCTAACGTCTGTCTTGTTTTATCATTCTTTGACCATTAGGTTACTTGCGAATATTCCTTTGAAGATGGAGCTTGTATTCCCAAGCGAGTCCACACTGTAGTGGTCTCTGTCCAACATTCAGATAAAATTGAACTTGAGACCCTCAGAGTTGAAGTTATGGAGAAGGTTTGTTTCATTTTCTCTTGCAATACTTGTTACTAAAGGGGTGGAAATAAATAATTATTTGTTATTCTTAATTTGCATTGCAGGTGATTAAGGCAGTTATTCCTGCCAAGTATCTGGATGTGGAAACAGTTTATCATGTCAACCCTTGTGGACTGTTCGTATCTGGTGGCCCTGAGAGTGATGCTGGTCTTACAGGACGCAAAATTATTGTTGATACCTATGGTGGATGGGGTGCACATGGTGGTGGTGCATTTTCAGGAAAGGACTTTACAAAAGTTGACCGATCAGCTGCGTATGCTGCTCGTTGGGTGGCAAAATCTCTTGTCAAATCTGGACTTTGCCGGTATGTTTCTATTTGTACATTTGAATAAATTAGGGTTTACTTTTTCAACGAATATCTGCATTTTTCTTTCAGGCGATGCTTGGTACAAGTATCCTATGCCATTGGTGTAGCTGAACCATTGTCTATCACTATTTTTGACTATGGAACAAGTCACAAGACAACACGAGAGCTACTTGAAATTGTAAAGAAGAATTTTGATCTAAGGCCTGGCAAAATAGTTCAAGACCTTGATCTGCGTCAGCCAATATATCAGCAAACTTCAACTTATGGGCACTTTGGACGTGACATTTTCCCATGGGAGAAGCCAAAAATGCTTGCTGCCTGAAGGGTTTCCAAATCTCAAGCCTTTTTTCCTTAAATATCTTTTTTTTAGTGTTACTCAGTTAATAATTTGTATGTGAATGAATTTTTCCCTTTGAGGGTGTTACTGTTTGTGTTATTTTATTGATCTGAAATGAAATGTTAAAACTGTCTTAATGATACTCCCATTAGTACTTTAGGCTTTAACCAATAATTTCTCTCTTAACGCCTTCCTTTTTTTTAAATGTTTAAAATCGTTTTTAGAACGTAGGACACATTAGGTTTCTAGTTTATGTAAGATTTTTAGACGTGATAGGGTTTGATTTAAAATCCACATTTTTACCTTGTTACCCTTGTTTAGTGATTGTTCAACCCAGAATTAATTTTTAATGATGGCATATGTATTCCATTTAATTTAAATTTGATTTTATAAATTATTCTTTATGTAAGACACCTCTCAGTATTCCTACAGCATGCCTATCCTTTTTGTTGTTGGCTCAACTAGATGGCACTTAGAAATAAACCAAATAAACATCATCTTAGGTTGATTGAACTTTTTTTTCCATTTCCATTACTGTTGCATCTTGCATCAGTATACACTGATAAGAAAACAATTCAAGATTCAAGGCTGTAACATGCTGCTTGAGAAAAAGCGCTTTTCCCGCCCGCTAGCCCCAATTTTTCATATCCCCATGGTTGTTTGTTTTGTGCTTGACAACTTATACACTTACATGTGTTTTGATGCCAAAGACGATTTTAACAGTCTAATTTGAGTGACAGACATGGTTCGCTACAAAAACAGGTATTTCTATATGTTTAAAGTTGTGTTAACTATCTTCTTCCGCGTATGAGTCCTCGCTGTCACGTTATTTGCCACCACATTAATGTATGGCGTCTCATAACCTCCATTTCTGTGACATTCAAGTTACTTCTTTTCTCTTTCAGATACATCGCTGTCGAAGTTAATCCCTTGGGTCTTTCAGGTACCAAGTCGTTTTCTCTCAATGGTCGAGATTTGTACAAAGCAGTTCTCGATGCAGTACAAAAATTGCATGGTGATTTTGGAGTTGCTGCAATAAGTTCAGGATATTCTGGTAAGTCATCGCATCGGACTATAGTGTGTTTCTCTTGATTGTTAATTTTCCATAATATTTCAAATTCATCTTTCTTGCAGCCAAATATTGCAATGAAGTAACTCGGATAGCACTGCTACGAGCCAGACATGGCCCTCACCGAATCTTAGCCTCAGCATTGCCCACTGTAACTCACGTGGGGCAAAAGAGTGCTACATTGCGAACAATTTACAGCGGTGCCACTATCAGGCACTGCTTATTGTTTCTTCAGGTATTTATAAACATGATATACTAAAAATTTTGTTTAAATTTGGATCCTTTTGAATTTTTGTTATGTTTTAGCAATATCAACGAGCTGCTCTTGTCAAGATGTGGTCCAAACAACGCAATGATGAGGAACGGCATGCCTTAGAGGCTGCTGTAATGGATCTCAGTGCTGTTGAGAATTTTCAGCTCAAACGAGAACATCATGAACACAAAGCTACTAGCTGAGTCACAACTATATTGAATTGTAAATATTATTTTCTGTATCCAAATCTATTATTTAAATACATTTCTAGGGCCAATTTCATCATATTCTTGTTTTTTTCTCCAATTTGACGTAGTCCTGAATTTATTTGGGTTTTAACTCTCTTATCTCTGAGGTTCCTACTCTCTAAACTCAGGAGAGAATAGCCGAAACTGTTGCAGAACTTTGCAGGGATATGTCAATACTAAACTGCCAGACAAAGTTTACAACGAACAACCACGGTACTGTAGGAATATGCGTCAAAAATTTGCTATGCTACCTCTTGGTTGTTCCTTTTGAGAAAACTATTGTTACTTCCTAGGTCAAAATTTTTGAGACAGTCCCCAGTGGCTGTCTCAATCCAAAGGTAAAAAGTTTCCTGTTTGTTTTGATCAAGATTGTCAATTTACGTTCCAGTCAAGATTGCCAATTAATTTTTTTTAATTTAATAAAATGTATAATTTTCTGTAAATTGCAAATTTAGGCATCCACCCCTAATACTTTTTTTTTCCCCTCCACTTGAGTGCAGTGTACTTGGTTTGTGGTCTCCAGGTACTCACATGCAAGTACCCGGCTGGCAGGAGAGAGAGTGCCCGCGCGGCTCCCCCGCCCCCTCCCCCGCGGCCAATGGGAGCCCGCGGCGCCCCGCTACGCCCCGCGACCTGCGTGTGGTGGGGCGGCGCCACGCTACGCCACGCCACTCCCCGCCGGCTGGCCTGTCACGTTGCCAGTTCACGTGCGACCTTGTTGCCGTGAACACTCTCCCGTCCCGTCCAGTACGTCTTGCTGCACCGCCGGGGCTGAACGTGCCTCTCTGGAGTCGCTGCTGCTGCGGATCCGCTGACGACTCGGCCACTTCGTTTTCGGCGACGGCAACTTTGGAGTTTAAATACCCCTTGTTCGGGAGAGAGTCACAATCCCAGAGTGCCGTCGAGATAGAGACAATGAACATTGATGCGCTGTCAACGCGGGGTTTCCCGAGGAGTGTTTGCTGAGGATTAATCTCATCGAAAGGAAGCTGCTGTCCGCCGTTGGACCAAGGATATGACACAGTTTTGAGGTATGTCAGTAGTTCTAACCTTTTTGTTTTCTAAATCTAGTTTCCTATTTTATATTATTGTTAAAAAGTTGGGGAAGAGCGCAGGAGGAGAGGCTTTCAGGGTTCATTGCTCCAAGTGTTTACATTGTTAGTTACTTTTGTTTACATGGTAAGGGTTGTCTGCCAGGCTTGTCGGTTTGAAAAACATATCCATTTTTCAAACCTTTTACGCAGGACATCAAATTGATCCCAGATATTAAACTCATTTTCTATATGTTATCCATTTTTTAACCGGGCTATGGCTATACCTGTTGCATCTAGGTTAGAGACTCGCCCAATGATGACACTTTCATCAAACAAATGGATAGTTTGTTTATCATCATTTTACGGATAATTTCTGATTATGAAATACATCAAACGGACCATTTATAATCCTCAGTACTATTTAGTAAGAGGCAAATATGCTTGCAGAGGCAAATATGTAAGTACATAGATACTTTCTAACATATTGATCATCCTGTCTGTTGTCTCTGATTTTGGTCATCTGAAAATCTGTTCAATGCTTAGCTTTCATTGACATTTATTATTTTATTACCGGTATGTGCTAGTTGAGTCTGGTCTGAAATTTTTTACATTTTGTGGTGTGGCCACTAAAGTCTTGCTCCAGTCAATTTTAATGTATTGAAGTATGATTAGCACTTTCCCTTCAGTTTTGAAAATATGCTATGCACTAATGATTATTCACTGGCAAAATACATTTTTCCGTATTTCACATTAGTTTGCTTGAAGTTTATATTGGGTTGGTAATTAACATGTAAGGTGGTTTACATTATATAGTAGTTAATTTCTTCAAATTCTCTCAAACAAATACCAACATGGTTTTTAGTGTTACCATTTTAACAGAACAATTATTGTTTTGTTGCTAATTAGACTTTTTAGAAAAGTATCGTCTTAAAATTCATTTTGTAACAGATTGATTTGTGTCGGCCCCACTATTAACGTCCCCTGAAAACGCGCTGTGCGTCCAACGTGCTACTGTCTTGCTCAGAGTCCCCAAACTCCGTGGGCGCTCAGGGCGGGCCACCGTCCCCACACAGCTGCTCGGCGGGCTGGCCTACCCAGCGCGTGGCAGGCGCTACCAGTAGTGTAGTAGCATCGGGTGGCACCTTATGGGCTAGAGGGGCGATAGGATAGGTGTGTTGGTGCGGGTAAACTCGAATATGGACCGGGCGAAGCAGGCAGCAGGTATATAGATTTAAGATGTATGAATGAAAAGCACTCTTCTACTGTACTCTCCTTGACCATCATGCATGATGTGATGTGATCAACGCCTTTCTTAAATCGCATAATTTGTTAATGTGTAGAATTCTATTATTTTTCAATCAAAGTATAGTGTAGTAACAGTTTGTTCTGTTTCCTAACCCGCTAAACGGAATCAAATTAACGTTTATATAGCTCTATATGTCTCTATATACATATATACAAACCAATATGTTTTAATTTATCTTGTCTAACTATATATATTATAATTATGTTTTATATGTTATATAAAGAAAACCCTTATTAACCCATATATAATATATATAATTGGATATAATGAAACCGCTTTATAAGATCTGTGTTAAAGGCAGATAGAGTTTTTATTTAAAATGATTTCGCGGGAAGGGAGAACAGACCATTCAGGTTCCTTTTAGGAGTCGGTAGATTACACCGCGTCTACCCCCCCCCCATTTTCCTTTCCACACCTCTCTTTTGTACAAAACAGTGAACGAGACCGAGTGAGTGAGAGAACGATGTCATACGTCTCTCTTTTTGTTGTTGCGGTGAGGTGCTCGGGTTGAGTGTCGTCCTGAGGCAGAGACACGGCGCGGATCGCTGCGTCGTTTTGTCGGTCACACGGTCGCGAAAGCACTGGAAAAACCAAGGTCGCACCTTTCAAAACGAGAGTTAAAGCCGATGATACCCCCCTTTACTAATGTATCGTTATGTTTAGTCTAAGTGTAAGGTATCATCTGCAAGGGCTCAGTGCATTTACAAACGTGCTAATGTTTTTAGCGCCATTGCGTCTCTTTAATTGTCTTTTATCAACACTGGAAACGCAAGTGTGTGAATGTCGCACACTTGTAGGCGAGTTAATATCCATTCTCACACTTAGGGGGGGGGGGGGTAAACGTGTGAATTTTTTCTTGGAAAGTGAATCTGGAAAGGTTTCTTCAGCTTCCCTTATTCTCAAGGCGCGACTTAACTCCCGTGTTTACCATGGTGTCAACCACGACCTCCTGGCCCGGCAGTAGTGCATCCCGTAGCGTCTCGCCTCCTCAATGGACGCCGGCCCAGAGTACAGTACACGTTGGGAGGTATGGCCTCGCCCTTGCAGTTTCGCGGCGGCGGCCGCAGCGCAAAGGGGGAGGACTCGGGAGGACTTCCCTCTCCAACCGCAGCCGCCAACTTTGGTGAATGACCGGCTAAGCGCGGCCAAGTTACTCCCTATTGCGCTGATGTACTACGCCGGTTATTACGAGCAAAATTCTATACCATCTTCGAGCAATTGTTTTTTCTTTTTTTTGTCGTTTGACGGCCTTCTTTCATAATTCCATTACGCTTTAGAACGCATTACGCGTAATGATTGAATCAGGTGTACTGACTATGGCGCTAGTGGTTGCCTCCTCGCCCTCCTCCTCCAGGGTCATCGCGGAAGTGCCCTACCTACTCCTCCGCCATGGCGTCGGCGGCACCGCGGTGTCCCTCTGACAATTCGAATTTCAAGTGTCTTACAGACTGGAAACGCAAGTGTGTGTGAATGTCGCACACACTTGTAGGTGTGTGAATATCCATTGTCGTACACCCAACAAAGTGTACGACATTCACACACACTTGCGTTTCTCGTGAGTACCATCACAAGTTGCAAGTTGCAAGTGCCACTCCGATGGAACTTGCACGCTTACTACAAACTGTGTGATACTACTGTACGACACTTGAGCTTGCAGACCACTCACACATAACACGATGGGTTCACAACACCGCCGCGAGTTGACGCAGTGGCGGCGGCGGTGATTCTCTCAGTCGTGCCGCCACGCCGCGCCACGCCACGCCACGCCACGCCGCGCCGCGCCAGCACGTGGTCGCACACGTGACTGTGTGGTCCGGGTCCGA